GGATCTGGCGCCCTCCAGACGTGCTGGACGACAACTCCCGGTGTGCACCGAGTGACCTAGACGGCTTGGCCCGGATAGTGCGGGACGCCGCTTGTCCTGGGGCCGGTGCCGTAGAGCGCTGGCACACGTTAGGGAAAGACTTTAGCGCATGCCGCCCTCGAATATTTCCTGCACCTTCCTGGAACACAGGGAGATGCCTTTACTGGGTCTTTCTAGCCAGGGGCTTGCCAGGGTTTCCTGAAGGAGTTTTCGAGTCTTCCCGGTAAATGCCAGGACCGATCCTGAGACGTTCTGCATGCGGAGAGCCCTTCCCCATTCTAGTTTCCCCAGCTTCCAGATGCACTATTTTGCATTTGATTTCAGGGGCGGGTATCAGGTTTGTGGGACCTGCTCTTTTTAGTGCCTGGAACCTTGAGAGCTGCTCAAAGGCATACTTGGCATTAATCTCCTGAAGGGTAACCAAATTCGTCTGTTGATGCAAAAACTTCACGAGTTCCGTGGCACCTCAGAGACCTGCATACTCTCTGTGACATAAGCTGTCATAGACCAGTCTGCCAAAGCTAGTGCCATAAGATCAGGCTTTTAAAGAGGCACAGGACTGAATGCTGTTTTCACTTTAAAATTAAATAGTCCAGGAATCTCTTCAGAGCATCATGACCGAATAGGCAGAATCCCACTCCGTGGGTGTGTATGTGTGTAATTGTGCCTCTGGATATTGGAGATCTTTCGGGGCTTCTGCAAATCATACCCAGATCGACCCTTCATTCAGATCTAGCATTGGCTCACTCCTGCTGTATTGCACAGTGAAACCCTTTTCTTCCCTGTCAATGATATTTGCCACCCCATTAATTCACCCAAACTAGTTTTTCTGGACTTAACCGTGATGCAAATGCCCAGCTTGAGAAGTGCTGCGTGCCTCTCTCAGCGCATGGATCTTAAAGAATCAGACAAAGTCATGCATAACCGGTCTATCCAATGACTATTGGCTGTGGCACTGGAAAGAACTGGCCTCTTGCTTCTGAGTAACAAGTAGGAGAAACTGCAAAAGCAGGGGCCAGACCCACTCAGATTCATGGCTTGTGAACTTCCACCAGGTATCCTGACTGGCTGCCTCTTCAAACAGAATGTTGGATGAGGCAGAACATTGATCTCATCCAGCAAACCTCCTTAAATATTTCTGGGAGTAGAGGATCCCTGTGGGCCAGGAGGGAAGAACTTGACTGGTGGTGGATGCACTGGAGGAGGAGTTGGCCGCAGGTCTGTGTCTTAAATAGACCTGGGGTTTACTGGGGGCAGGAGATGTATGGGATTCCACTACCCTCACCTTTCAGGTTTACATAGATTCCAATGGACTGGAGGTAAGGAGTTCTTGAGCCAGCAAAGGGGAGGATGTTGGGCATCTCTGGATTTTTATATGTCAACTTGTAGTGGCAAATGGAGAGCGCTGGTAGAATCCTTCACAAAGCCTGAGAAAGGGGTGGAGGGATGGGTACCCAGTGTGTGTGTGTGGTGACAATCAAGGGTGCTGAAGAAACCATATGGCAATGCTTGATAGTGTGATGGGAGGTTTGTGAGCATGAACATACTGGAGAATTTTCAATGGCTGCAATGGGTATCCTTGTAAAGAGCAGGCAAGGGAACTGGGCAAATGTGAAAACCTGAGAATGCACTATTGAGATTTCTGGCTCTTGAAAGATGTTACGTTCTTTGTACCCATCATAGCAGTTTAGTAAGTTCCTTACTCATTAATGTTAACAATACTATAAAGATTTAGCATTTATTTAAGGAATTAGCAATTTTCAGAATGCTTTGTATATATAATAAGAATAAATCCTTAAAACAGCCTTGCAAGGTAGGCAAGAAGTAATACCCCATGTTGCAGATTGGGGCAGTGGGATAAGGCTGAGAATAGCGGTTTGCTGAAGGACACCTGCGGTGTAATCTCTCGCATGTAGCAAGAAGCAAGTCCTGCTCTGTTCATTTGGGCTCACTCCTATATAAGTATGTAAAGGGCTGCAGTGCTAGTGAGTTTGCAGCTGAGACAAGATTTGAATGAGAGATTTCAGGCTTGCAGTTCGCATTTTTCGCCCTGTGCTATATTGTCATTCATTTATTCTGAGTTGGCATTCTGATTTATTCAGATGTGAGGGAGATGGCAGTACAAAGTATTGAAATTCTTTCAACTGGACCACGCCCCTGTGGACAGAATTAAGATGGCATTTGAAAAAAAGATGCTCTTGGGAAAGAACCATGGTTACTTTGTTGAATATGGAGGGCATGAAGGTGCTGTTTCATGTTTTTAAAACAGAGGAGTTGTTACATGTTTAAACTCCTCTCTGTTTGTACCTGAATGCTCAACATCACAAGCAGTTTCAAGCTTCCTGTTGCTGAAAAGCCACTTCGGTCTAAATCAGCCTTCATCCCCAATCTGGTGCCCTCCAGCTGTTTTAGACTGCAACTCCAATCATCCTCAACCAGTCCAACACATCCTGAAAGCTCCAGGTTGGGGAAGAAGCAACCTGCAGACATGAAAAGCTTGCATTCTTTTATTAGGTCAACCCTCTGCCAGCATGAAATATCGCCTTGCCCATTTCTTTTTCATCTTTTTTTCCTTTTAATTAACTGAGCAGCTAAAAATTGAACAGGGCTAAATCTAGAAAGCTACCAGATCAGGGGCATTCCTAGATGATGTTTAAGTTAGGTTAAGCTGCTTCCTCCTCCCTACCTGCTCCTGATTGTAGGGACAGCTGCAATGAACAGCCTGTTTCCTTGTGTAAAAAATGCAAGCAGGATAGCAAGTCAAAAGTGTGTGTGATACAACAGGACAGAATCCTGGGCAGCCTGTGAATTGGGCGTAGCAACAGTCAGTGGCTTGCAATTTGGAGAGGGAAACAGAAGTGCAGGGGCTCAAGCCCATCCGGAAACGCCGCTTGTATCCGTAATCTCTGATTTAGGTGGGGGAGGCCGCACTGGATGAGCAGCGACTGCGAATGTTCGTGTGGATGCTCTGGAGCACTTCCTTCGGAAATATGCTCCGGTACTTACATTTTGATTTGGAAGACTGGGTGGCAGAGCGGAGACTTGGGGGTGGGAAGCTACCCTTCCTAGTTGCCCATCTCCTGCCACCTGTCTGGTTGTGGAATCTCAGTAGCTGGAGGCAGAGGGGTGTGCCCTGTCTTTCCGGAGAGAGCAAAAGAGGTTGCCAGTCCTATCTCCCAGTCACTGCTTTTCACATCCTTTTCAATGACTTAGTCTGTAGCAACATCCTCTCTCAGCTGCTGTGACTGCCAACTCCCTTCTATTCACCCTCTGCCTCTTTTCTCCCTTTCCCTTCACTGCAGTATCTATTTCAGTCCCTCCTGCTGGCTGGATTGGATTCATCACATCCGGAATGGCAAACAATTTATTGTCATTCAATCCTCCCCTCTCTTCCCCCACCCTTCCACAATTCTGTTTGATGCTGAAGAATTTTTCTGGGTCCTAGTGACTATCCAGCCAAAGCTTGGTGCACTGGGACAGCATTCCTATATAATTGGAAGACTGTTTATCTGGAACATAAGAGCCATCTTCTACCCAGCTGGGCCTCTGATCTGTTCAGCCAAGCAAAGTTTTTGTTTTTGCCTTCGCTGATTTGGTACCGTCCTGATCTTTGGGGCCTCGACTCCCATCAGCTTCCAGGCAGTGTGGCAAATGGGAAGGGATTCCTGGAGTTACAGTCCAAAACTTCTGGGCTGAGGAAGGCCAGGCTATGTTAAAGGCCATGGCTATCCAACGTTCAGCAGGCCCTTTCCCTGCTCTTCCAGGAGAATCCATGAACTGAAACAGAGCACTTCTGCATTCAGACTTTGTGATGTAGGTGTGGCCCATAGATTGAAAATCTATGCTGAGAAAAACTGGCATGGTCCATATATGTTTAAACTTGTTCCTGTGATCTTAAGGGCTAGAAGCTTTCTATTTCTAACTTTTCTTGGAAAATGGAGACTTCCAGGCTGCCACATCTTTATTGTGGCTGTGCATTTAAGTCTAAGCTTCAGCCTGTGGGCAGAATGATGGGATAGCTGGTTCCTTGTAGCAGTATTGTACCCATGTTCCACTAATGGCTTTCCCAGTTTTTTTGTATTTATTCCCAAACTGGCTGGCTGAGTAGAAGATTTGGAATACTTTACAGGTGCCACCCTATACATGTTTGGACAGAAAAAATCCTTCAGCTTCCAGCATTTCTCAGCCAGGGGTGCCTTCAGAGACCTCTGTCTCTCCTAATAACAGAACCCAGGATCATCCTGTGAAGATGAATGGTGGGAGACCCAGGACAGATAAAAGAAAGCACTTCACACAACCCACGAGTCAAACTCTACAACTTGTTACCCCAGATGCAGTGCTGACTGCCAACTTGCTTGGCTGTAAAAGGGGATTGGGGTCCCGCATGGAGAATCGGTCTGCCGATTGCCTCTACTCAGAATAGCCGAATGTCCCCTCCAAGGTCAGGGCAGCATGGTGCTGTGTCCATTTCTGGGAGGCCGCCATTGCGCTTATGCTCTGCCCGTGCAATTTCCTGGGGCATTTGGTCCACCAGTAAGGGGAAACTGTGCTAAACTACATCGGTCTTTGGCCTGCTCATTTTGTGCCACCACCCTATCTGCAGAGCTTCAGAGGGAGACCAGAGCTTCACAGGGAGTCTTCTTCAGTTTTAGCCCTCCTATGTTTTCCCTTGTTGCCTCTGTCCGCCCCACCCCCAAGCAAAATAATATTTATGGAGGAAAAGATGGAACAGCTGCCCAGTTCCTTTTGATAGGTGCTGCTGGGAGCCATCCTCTCTCTGGAAGCATCCTTGATCGAAGGCTTCATAGCAAGAGCTGGCTGAGAGATGACACGGAGCTGATTTTCACCAGCTCAGGTGGGGTTGCTCTGGACCTAAAGAGGGGCTCTCTTGCCTTGGGACATCCAAGGGTGTGGGGTTCAGCAAATGCAGGCTCCCAGTGGGGCTGGTGGCTCCGGTGTCAGTGGGGCAGTGGATTCTCCCTGGGTTGCATCCTGAATCTCACAGGAGCTATCCGTGGTGCCGGCCCCCAGTGGCAAAACCATTTCAGCACCAAGGAGAGCTCCCCAGAGGTTGCGACCACCGCTCAGAAGGCCTGCCTTCCTCCACCCACCCAGCGGGGGCCCAGCCTCCCCAGCCCGTATTGCTCCCTGCTCTGCCATTGCTGCTGGCTGCTCTCCCACTTCCCTGGACGCCAAGGCTTGTGCTGGAGCTAGCTTTCCCTGCCTGCTGTAGCCGCCCCTACTGCCCATTTCTGCCTTTGGACTGCCCTGGACAGCTGGGAGTGTGAAAGCCTGGCACACTCGGCAAGGAGGACATGCGGATGGCCAGCCATGCCACTGTGTCGAGAGCAGCAAAGGTCTTGTGGCTGGGGGATGGTGGGAGATGTAGTCCAGCACACCTGGATGGAATCCAGCGGTGGAACACTCAGGTCCAGAAGGCAAAGAGGAAAGATGGGGCTGCAGAAAGACTTGTGGTGTGGGGGAAGGTAAGGGGAGGAGGGGGACCTAAGCAAGATGCTTTCAGTGGGGAGGGCTCCTCTTCCCAAGAGCATCTGCCTGCTCCTTCTTACCTGTGGTGAACTGCCTTTCAATTTTGGTGTGCAGGTCCTACGTATGTAAAAAAATCATTACTGTACACTTACATTGGGAATGCAGTGTACAAATCTGAGACTGTACACCATTCTGAGAGTTTTTACTATAGAACGGAATATAAAAGCTCTAACTAAATAAATTTGCATGGCTTTGCTTTTCTGTTGGTGAAAGCCAAGAGAGATGGAGTGGAACAGCCAAACACTTCTGGTCGCTCTTCTTGCACCCTTCACTGCTTACTGGCTGTGGAATAACGGGCAAACAAGCCACAACGAGGAGTAGGGAAAACAGTAGGGCAGGAGCCTGCAGAGATTGGCAAGGGGGGCTTAGGATGCGACAATCGGCCTATAACAGAAAATGGGAGGAAGAATAGCCACACAGGCTTGTGTGCAGAGAGGAGAAAATTCTACCCTCCCGTTCCTACAAGGAACCCTTGGTGACTCCATTTTTCTGTTTCTCTCCATTTTAGCCTCACAGCCAGAACCCCACGAGGCAGGTTAGGCTAACAGATGGGCCCTAAGTCACCCTGCGAGCTTCCTGGAGAGGGAGGACTGGAACCCAGCTCTCTTGCACCCCAGTCTAGCACGCCAGCCATTATGCCACCCTGGCCCCCCAGCTGGCCTCCTTGGTGGACAAAAAATCAGGGCTCGAGCGATCTTCGAGTTGTGCACCCTGCTCCAAAAAGCCGCTAACCTTCTTCTTTTCTTTGGCTAGGATCCATTGGGGAGCAGGTCTGCCAAAGCCATCCCTAGGCTCGTAAGATTGTACACCAAGGCTGTTGCCATGTGTCTGGTGAAGGAGAGCTCTTCTGCCCACCCTCAGGTGCTGAAGGTTAGCACAGGTGCACCGACATGCCTCCCCACTGGCAATGCTGGCCAGAGTGATGGGAGTTGTAGGCCCAGACCTCTGGAAAGCCACATGTTGCCCACCGCTGCCCTGGCACATGATCTCCAGTTGAAACGAAGCTGCGTCCCCCCTTGTTGCCGCTCTCCTTCCAGCCTGCCCTTTTCTGGAGGCACAAACATTTTCAACATACCTCGGGCTGGCAGCTTTTTTTTCCCCTTTGGTGGGAAGAATGCCTAAATTAGCCCGGGCTTTTAGCAATCAAAGGAAGATGCTTCTTGATCTTTGCTCTTCTTCAAGGTCAACCTGGCTAACAGAAATCAATATTCCTCCTGCCTCTTTTCTCCCCTGCCCCCTGCATGTTGTACTCGCTCAGGCTGCTTTTGTTACCGGCTGCATCTTGGCTTCATTGACTTGAGCCTCACTTTCCGATCGAGGGGCTGGCTCGCCGACCTTCAGCAGGCAGCCCCTTCCTCTGGTGGGGAGGGGTTGAGGGGGAGCCCCCAGGTGGGAGAGCAGGCTGGCCAAGTGCATCCAAGAGCCACCCCCACCACCCCCAAGAGCTGGGGAGGGGGCTAGCCGCTGATTTTAATAGACTTGTGCTGCCCTGTATTAAGCAAGTGTTTGTCCCCCTATCCCCTCACCTTTCCCTGATCTGGAAGAGCCCTCTGTAGTGTGTGTGCACACATGTGTGCATGTTCGTTTGCACATGCGTGTGATGAATGGAACGACTCCCAAGCTCCTGGTTATCATGCCTGGCATTGCTGAGGAGCAGGGGTGCCGGATGCACAGCCCTTCAGTTGCTAGTGGATTGCAGGCCCCATTGTCCCTGGCTTTCTAACAGCCTAGTAGGGCCGATAGAGTTGCACCCCAGCAGCACTGGGGGGGGGGGCACACCTGTGCAGGTAGCAGTGGCTGACCTGGGGGCAGTGGATCCAGGGGGGCTGCAGCACTTCTGCAGTATGGCTGGCTTCCCTGTGTAAGCCGTTGGTGTGTGGGCAGGGCCGTCTTCACGCACGGGCCTGATGGGCACTTGCCCGTGGGCCCCAAATAATCTGTGTCTGTTAACCCTTGGAAAATGGGAAGACTTCCAAAATTAACAGTAGTTGCAGTTGTCGTAGGGGCCCCAGTACACGGCTTTGCCCGGGGCCCATCATGCTGTCAAGACAGCCCTGTGTGTGGGTGTCTTTCCAGATGCTTTCCTGGGTGCCCTTGGGTGCCTCTTCTCTCTGTGTGCAGGGGCTTGTCTCAGTCTACCAAGAGGCACCCCAAGGTGCTGGCTTGGAGGAAAGCTGTGCCCGGAGTGCAGGGTGCGCAGGAGCTTTCCCATAAATGGTGCCATGAGCTGGAGCATTCAGGAATTTGACTCTCCTGTTATTCACCCCAGAGCAAGACTGCAGCCTGTTCTCTTACAGGAGCCTTCTCCAACTCAAACACACCTGCTCTTCCAGATGTGGTGGGTAACATCACCCCTCACCCCAGCCCGCACTGAGCTTCTGGTTGGGAATGATGGGAGTTGTAGTCCAGTGCGTCTGAGAAAGCATGGGGTTGGGGAAATCTCTCTGGAGGGTCTCATGGGAAGCAGAGGGTGTGTGAAATGCAAAACAAGGATTGTGGGTTCCCTCCACTCTCTCTGCCCTGCTCTGTTTAGTTCTTTGGAAAAGCCGTTTGCTGCTTCTTTTTGCTTTAGTTCTCCCCTGCCTGGAACATGAGGGTGGGGTTTCCTTGCCTCTTGGATAGGCTACGGATCTCGGGCATTCTGGAGATTTCCAGCGATTCTGGGCTGTGGTGTGCATAAAAATGCTGCTAATGGGGATGATGGTTTTGGAAGTTCCAGCCAGTAGTTCTAAGAGCGCCAACTAGGCCTTGCTGTGGAAGTGGAGGTTCTAGTTCAGCTGCAACATGGATCTGCGTTTCCTTCTCCTTTCTTAAAACCTCCTGATCTGGGCCTTTGGCCAGAGCATGGAGTTCCCTTCCGTGCCCCTTGCTCTTAGCTTCTCACCCACCTCAGCAATATCTCGGCCCATCATTTACCATCATTATTAACCAGAGTCGTTGTGTTTTCCCTTCTTGTTTTGCTCTCTGCACCTTCTCCTGCAGGGCCTTCTGATGTTCTCTGTTGAACTGCGACTTCCTCCTTCCCCAGAATGCCCCTCGTGTCCGGCACCGCTGAGCCCAGCTCCGAAGAGATCATGGACCCCGTGCCCGAAGAGATCCAGCAGGTCCTTTCCATCGACCGGATCTGTGCCATCCGGGCCACAAATGATTATGTGGAGAGACCGCCCTTTGCCAAGCCAGCACCCCCCATCCTTCCCCTGTCGCAGCCGCTCCAGCCAGCCCACAAGCCAGAGGTGACTCAGGAGCGCCTGATGTCCTCCGTCTTCCAGGACCTTCACGGCAGCCAGGGCCTGCCCCTTCCGCAGCCCCTGAGCCATTCCAGCACCGCCAGCTCGATCTCACACAGCACCTCTGCCTCGGAGCAGCGGCTTCTTGGGGGCATCACGCCCTCGCACTCGGGGAACTCGCTAATCCGGACGCAGCCCCGGGCGGGTGACTCGAAGCCCGAGGAGCTTCTGAAGGCCACGGCCGGGAAATCCGCCTTCCACGCGGGCCACATCTTCATCTGCGAAGAGTGTGGCCACTGCAAGTGCGCCCACTGCGCTGCCGCCCGCAGCTTGCCCTCCTGCTGGCTTTGCAACCAGCGCTGCCTCTGCTCTCCAGAGAACCTCATTGACTACGGGACCTGCCTGTGCTGCGTCAAGGGCATCTTTTATCACTGCTCCTCGGACGACGAGGACACCTGTGCCGATGACCCCTGCTCTTGCGTCCCTGGATCGTGCTGCGCCCGCTGGGTGGCCATGGGCTTCCTCTCTTTGCTCATGCCCTGCCTCTGCTGCTACTTCCCCACCTTGGGCTGCCTCAAACTGTGCCAGCGGGGCTACGATGCCGTGAAACGGCCCGGCTGCCGCTGCCAGAATCACACCAACACGGTCTGTCGGAAGATCTCCTCCACAAGTGGAGCGACTTTCCCCAAGGCCTTGGACAAACCAGTATGACTTCTCCTGGGAAAGGGGGAAGGGAAAAAAATGGCTGTCCTCCTCCTCCTCCTCCTCCTCCTCTTCCCCCCCGCTTCCATCCCCACCACCACTGTCGCCACCACCCTCTTCTTCAGCTTGCCCTGCTGAAAGGCTCCAGCAAAGCACAGATGGAGCGGCTGGCCAGCCACGGAAGCCCCTGTGGAAGGCCGGTGCTTGCTCTGCTGTGGAGGATGCCATTCGTCCCCACTGGTCCCGGCTGGAGCTGCTAGGGTTCCATGTATTTCAGCAACGGCGGGACAGGTGGGATGGGAACGGAGGCGCCACGGCCACAGGGAGGGGTGTTTGTGTGTGTGCGTGGATAGGAAGGGTGGCTTTCCATGTGATGGTTCAGCCGTCTGCGGTGGCTCCCAAAAAGGGAAAGGCAAAGGGCATTGCACTCAAGCGCTGTGCTTTCCCAGGGTCAGGCCATCCTATAGCGAAGTTCTCACACTTTCTTTCTTGCGTGATCCTCCCCAACTGGCTTGCCTCTTGTCCTTCCCCCGGCAGCGCGACTAGCAGAGATGCAGAGGCTAGCAGACCATAGCAAGGGAAAGGTGACCAGACTGGATGCAAGGCTATGTCCGTGGCTGTGCAAAGCTGAGGAAGGTGGATGCTGCCCTGGAAATCAGCTGGGGAAGAGGCTGATAGGTTAGGGTCGAGTCTCTTTTGAACGGTAGAGCCTCTTAAACAGGTTTTTGGTGTGGTAAACCCTGGCTAGCTGCAGAGACAATGAGGCTGTGTTAGGGCAGGGTCTCATGCAACCTGTTACCCACAGTCAGAAGTTGTCCGAGGTGAGGATGAGATGGGGAAAAAGCTGCCTTCCTTCCCAGGCAGGTTGGCTCCTGCATACCTGTGAGCAGAAGGCCAGGGTGACTTGCTTCGCTGGATTTTAATTTTGCCCCGGTTCTGCTAATGGGCCTGCAGAAGCTGCCTGCTGCTCCTTTCAGCCTGTCTGTCGCTTGCATGTCCCAGCATCACTCTTTGCTGTACAGACAAGCAGGTTCTTTCAGGGCAGCACTTTTAAGAGCCTGGGTGCACCTTCTTTTTTAAGCAAAGGGTGAATGATCAAGGCAAAAAGCCGAAGCTCAGAGGAAAGATTGCTCATTGCACACCTTCCCATGCCAGAAGGTTTTAGCTGTGGGGCCATAGTTTGGTGGCAGAGATCTGCTTGACATCTCCAGGTAGGACTGGGAGAACCCCTGTCTGATTCCTGGAGAGAACTGCCGGTCAATTTTAAGGGCCATGGGTGAGAACAGGCCTTGGATTGAGCCATATTTGCATGCCGGCTGTTCCCATGGCTCTGCTGGTTTGGGCTGGCGGATAGCAAAACATCTGTAGGGCCACGAGTTGCCCTCTCCTGGGTTAAAAGTATAACTCCCAACTGGGGGGTGTGATGGACAAGGCACGTTCTGTGCAAGACTGCGCCGAGTATCCATCTGCGCTGCCAGTCTTCTGCCTAGCCTCGGTCCTGATGGATGAGTGAGGGTGGCGTGGCATGACGGTTCTAGAAGGTTCTGTCTGGGCAAGGCTGTCCTCTGTGGAGCAACGGGGAGCAGAGTGATGGGTTGCAGCTGTGGAAGGCCCAGTTCCACCCCCAACACCTGCCGGTGGGGCCAGTCGGTGTAGACAATGCCACCTGGAGCATCCCTATGCAGTAGCTTCCGACCTTTCTTCAGGCGTTTCCTTAAGAGGAAGAGCAGCACCAGCCAGCTCTGCGTATCCCCTGCACATGTTCAGTTGCTGGGCAAATCGGCTGCTTCTGAGGTGGAGGGAGACTGTGTCCCCTGGTCGCCCTGGGGGGGCCGCAGGTGGCAAAGTGTGTGGCTCAGGTGCTCGTCCTTTCCTGCAAGTTGGCCGGATCGATTGGTGCTGGACCGAGAGAGTGAGAGGAGGGCCAGGACTGTCCAGCCTGGCATCCCAGGTGCATGCACGATGGTCCATGGTCACAAGGCAGGACTGCGTAACTCTTGCCCCATGGGAGGGTGCAGCCTGAGGTCAGTCCAGTGACAGTCCAGCACTCACAGGGACGCGGGAGGCTGTCTTGTAGCAAGCCGTGCCGTGCCCTCGGCTCCTCCAGCTCGGCCTTGTTGGCATTGAACACAGCAATGGCTCTCCAGGGTGTCCGGGCAGGAGCTTTCTTTCCCGTCAGTGGAGGACTGAACCGGGTGTCCCTCACATGCAGAACATCCGTTTGGCCCCTGTGCCTGCCCTCCCCTCATCCCCGGTCGGCAGCAGAAGCGGAATGGCAACGGGCCACCCGTGGGCTTGTTGGGCCACCTGTGGCTTGGGCATCCCGCAGATCAGCCCTTCCCAAGACCACCCAGTCATGGAATCCTGTCCTGCCAACTCTGGCAGCCGCACGTCTTCTGCTGGCTGTCCCAGTTTGGGACTATTGCAAAAGAGGTCTTCTCTTGAGGACTTGAAAGCAATTGGGAGGCTACTTACCCCATCTCGAATTCTAATTTCTACCAAAAATGCTCCCTTTCTGGGGCAGAGGTGGCCAAAGAGAATAGGCCACTGCTTCTGCTGTGGTCAGAAGGCGGAGTCCAAACCGTTCATGCTAGAAAATGAGCCGTGTGGTTGGGTGAAAGGGTGCAGCAGCTGCTCTGCACTCAATATCGCTTGTGTGCATGGCGGAAAGAATGCTTGGAGGGCTTTGGCCCATGGAATCTCTGGGTCTGAAGACTCTTGTTTGGGTCAGGATGGCTATTGTAGTGATCGGTTTATTTTCTCCTTTCAAAGACCCTCCCCTTCCACTTGAGTTCTGTAAGGAACTGAGCACCACGGACTGGAGCGTTCTCTCCTCAGTCAGGCATTTATAGAGTGTGTCCTCAAATTTTTGTTTCCCCTACCTTGCCTTATATAAAGCATAATATCTGCTCATAATGTATCTCCTTGTTTGTTGTATATATTTTTTTAACTGCATTCTTCCCATTAAAACAAAAGCATAATATTTATTTGAGAAGTTTATTTTAAAGTTCTAAAGGCAATGCATCCTAATGTATTTATTATAACCTCTTGGTTGTACATCTCTTTCCCCCACACCTCTCTCTTTCTCTTGCAAATCTAATTAAGCTGTTATTGAACACTGCTGAAGTGAAAGAAATGATTCTATGGGTGGTGTTTCAAACCACGATCAAAGCAACTATTCAATAAAATATATATATAAATTTTGAATCTTTCTCTCTTTTTCTGGTCTTGTGGGCAGGGAAATAAAGTGTGGTGTGCCACCAATCTAGCGCCCCAAATATTGATGTATGGCAATTCCCACCATTCCTGGACATTGACCCTTCTAGCCAAGGATGACAAAGGTTACGGTCCAACAATACTTGGAGATCCCAAGCCAAGGAAGGCCATGCTAGAGAAATGTACCGCTGCAGTGGATCATATCTCAAACCAGGTCCCCGAATCCAGAAGGCCACAAGTTGGTCCTCTTTCAAAGGACCTGTGGAAGCAAGGCCTGGAGAGACGTCTGCTCTAGACCCCATGTTTATAATGGGTTGGATCAAGATTACAGTCATCAAGTTGGGAGGGATCTTGGAGATCATCTAAAGGAGCTTTCCCCCAGCCTGGTGCTCATTAGATATCTTGGACTGTAATTCCCAAGATTCCTGGCAAATGGCAATGCTGGCTGAGGCTGATGGGATCTGCAGTCCAAAATGTCAGGAAGGAAACCAGTTGGAGAAAGCCATTCTGTGTCAGCTCAGTGCAGTGGCTTTGCAACAGCAGCGGTCGTTCAGCATCTTTTCTCGTGTTTCACCCAAATCTAATTCCCTGCCATTTCCACCCACCAGCTCCTACTCCTGTCCTCTGGAGCAATGGTGACCATCTCTCTTTTGTCTGCTGTGTAACCGTCCTTTGGATATTTGAAAACGTCTGTCTCCCCTTCACCTTCCTTCCACCAGGTGAATTATACCCTGATTTTTCAACTATTGCTCAGAAGATTGGTTTTCCAGACACCTCACCACCTTGGTTGCCTTCTTGAAATTAGTTCTCTTAGATTTCAGTGGGAACCAAATTCAATTCAGTCTTCCTCCAGCTGCTTGTATTCATCGCTCCTTCATATTTCAGGCAGTGTATCCCATTTGGCACAAATGATAACATAAATGGCATTTATTTATTTATTTATTTGAACATTTCTATGCCGCCCCTTGCCGAAGCCTTGGGGTGGCTTACAACACAATAAAATACAATAAAATACAATAACAACAATATAAAAATTAAAATTAACAATATAAAGTAAATAAAAAATATAAAAGAAGTCACCCTGGCCAGATAAATAAGCAAATAGCTTAAGCTTAAACATGGCACTAGCTTAAGCTACCTTAATGCAACAACACTGCTGTTGGCAGCTGCGGCCTGTTTTTGGAGGATCCTGTTGCTTGAGGAAGTTTCCGCGGGTTTACGATATCGCACATGCCAAATGGGACGCAGCCTTGAGAGTGGAGGAAAGCTGCTCCTGGCACAAGGAGTTTGTAGCTGAAGTGCTGACATGAAGGGAGGAGGGGGAGGGAAAGAAAAGACTCTTATATGAGCTGCACACACTTCAGCTTATTATAGAGGCCATCCTAGACATGCTTTCCTGGAAATGCATCCCACTGGGTTCAGCAGGACTTATTCCCAGGAACGCATGCATGAGGTTGCAGTTTTCATCGCAACAGGGCCTAGTCTTCTGCAACATGGCTCCTTCCAGATGGTGTAGACGTCATGTCCTGTCTGCCTGGGCTGGCATTGCTAATGGTTAGGAATGCTGAGCTGTAGTCCAAAATTTCCCAAAAGACCAAGTTCTGGAGAGTTGCAGCAGGCATGAATGCTTTACCTCTGCTTTTGATGAAAAGGACCTAAAAGTTGTCCCAGACTGTTTAAAATCTGTTGGGCAGGACGGGCCATAGCTCAGATGAGCCCCTGCTTTGTCTGGAAAAGATTCAGGTTTAATCCCTGATATCTCCAGGTAGGTCTGGAAAAGCTCCCTGGAACCCTGGAGCTGCCAGTCAGTGTTGGCAGTACTGGATTAAATAGACTAAAGCTCTGATGCAGTATAAGGCAGCTTCTTATGTTCTGAAATCCAAAACAAACTGAGACAATGGTAAAAATAAATAACAGGCTTAAAAAATGAAATCACAGAGCACAAGGAAACAGGCAAAACGAGTGTCAAAGCTAACAAAGCTGAGAGAGAGAGAGAGAGAGAGAGAGAGAGAGAGAGAGAGAGAGAGCGCGCGCGCGAGCAGACTGCAAAAACAGCTAAGGCAGATCTTGTCACACTCTTGGAAAAATAGACCTGGGCCATGCAGGAGGGAAGAGGGAAGACTGCTGGGCAGATACTCAATGTATCTTCCAAAATCTATCTTGCTGTATTCAAATCTTTGGTGTGAACACACTTGGAATACTGTGCTCAGTGTTGCAAGTTAAATCCCTGGGGATACCCAATGGGAACCTACAGTTCCTGCCATCTTGCTCAAGCAAGGAGTCTGTATTAACCTAAACCCAGACTTAGAAAGGAGAAGGAAAAGAGCCAATGTGTAGGCCTATCTAGTGGAAGAGACTGCTCATAAGCATGAAGTGAAGGCTAGCTTTGGTGTGGGTCCAGTGGAGACTAAGGCTTGTAGGACGCTAGGGAAGTTCACAAATGAAAGCTCAGAAACAGGAATTCCAAAACTGAAAGGCCAGATCATCCCTCAGACTGAAACCACACACAAGGAAGCCAGCCTTCCAAACAGAATCCCTTCACAGAGCACCTACCCTTTGTCTGTTGTCCTGCAAAGCAACCGATTCACTCCCATGTTCTCCGCAGAATGGCTGGGCCTTCTTTGCATAGAGTTACGTGTTGCTTTTATGGCCCTTTTCTAGAAGAAGGCAGGTTTGCAAGGGAGCTGGCTCTCCACGTACAAGACACCCAGTGAGAAAGTCTCTCAGCCCCGGTGACAAAGCCGCAGCCCAAAGCAAGTGAAGCAACTGTGCGAGTTCAGCAACAGGGCAAGGAGGCCCAGCTCAGGAAGCGGTCCTCTGTCCTCCTAGTCAGGAGGTGTAAAATGTAAAGTGATTGCTCACCTTCTCCTAGAATAATAAAGAAATATTGTTCTAAAAAACCCCTCAATTTTGCAGGTGAATACCAATCCAACACATGACGATAGAAAGTCAGGAGGAGTGTCACAACTGAGTGTATTGCGCTGAGTGCCGCAGGTATGCTGAGCAGTTCTGGTTGCCACACCTGAAAAAGGACATTAGTGAGCTGGAAAAAGTGCACAGGAGAGCAAATAAAATGTTCGGGGGCTGCCGCAGCTCCCCTGTGAGGAGCAATTATGATGACTGCAACCATTCAGCTTAGAAAAAAGGCGAGGAAGGGATCTCAGGGTTGTTCTATCTAGTTTTTTGCTAGTTTGTTTAACAGGATGTTTTCCTTCAGCTCTCTGATGGAAAAGGCAGAATCTGGATGTAATATGAACAATCTTTACTTCACCATCTCTGTCCCAAATTCAGAGATCTGGCACAACCCAACCCAGGGTATGGAACCATGTAATTTCTGTGCTGTTGGTGGGAAGGTTCTGTGTTTTCTCACCACTGCCCATGATGTTACTCAGACAGACAGAGGTGGAAGGGTCCTCAAAGGTCATCTAGTCCAGTCCCTTGCTAATGCAGAAAATCCCCTGCTCTGATGTCCTTCAGAGGTGGGCAGCAAGCGTAAAGACCTCCCGTGGAAGAGACACCATCAAATCCCAGTACAATGGGTCGATCGGTACCGCTAGTGCAGTCCAAGTCCCTGCTCTTCCAATCTGCACTTGTTGGCTTGGGTCCGATGTTTTAGAGCGAAAAGCACAAGAGCGCTCCATCATCTTTATGAAAATCCTTCAAATATTTGAAGAAACCAAGAAGAAAATGGTAAGAAGTACAAATAAGTTGCTCACACAGGAGACCTGAGAGTGACTGCAACTTCCAGCCTTCCTGACCATTGGCCATGCCAGCTGGGGCTGATGGAAGCTGGAATCCAACATGTCTAGAGGACACCAAGAGAGGTCTAGTGTAAGGAAAGTTTAGTGCGTCCAGTCCTCCTTTGGCTACAAGCTTGTCTAGTTGCAGTTGATGGACAACTTCAAGGGCTCTGCTCTTGCTTCAGGGTCTGAGCAGCCCTTCAAATAGAGAAACGCCCCCTGTAAAATAGGACACATGCCCCCCCTAAATCTTAGATAACTTCTGGCAGTTATTGTAGACCAGGTGTGGGGAACATGCGTGGCTCTCCCCACGTGGTCAGACCACAACTTTCAGGGTCAGTCCAACTCTGTGAGACGTGACAGCTGAGTGGGCCTGCCTTTTCTCCGGATACTCCGTTCCATCTCCTCTCACCTTGGGTTTCCATCTGCTCTGCAACAATCAGAACTAATTTAGTTCCGATTGGACTGTTTTCGCTTTCCCTCCAATGATACTTTTGTACTTCTGCAAGCCTTGGCGTTCCCCTAAGCTTCCTGATATCTCTCCCTTACATAGCCAAGCCGCTCTGGCTACATAAATGATGGCACACATGGCCCCCAACGTTGGGAAATGGTACATGGGAGCGTTCTGTGTCTCAACCTCACAGATTTCTGATTTCTTGATTCTTCAAGTGCTTTGTTGAGAGTTTTGGAGGAAGAAAAGCAATCCCCATCTCCCAGTTCACTTTACAAAAATTTGCACCTGTTGATTATATTGTTTAAAAAAAAATCCATAAGAACAGAATTATGATCTGGCCAGAGTGAAAAGTCGTGGAAAAAGACCTGTTTGCAGTCTGCTCAGCCAAGGTTCCCTCTTGCTTCACTTGCTGTGGAGATACTGCCCTGTGCTTTGTCTCAGGAAGTTGTCTGTGTGTGCGGAAGAGGTGGCAGGAGGGAATTCTCACTAGAGCTAACACCACGCACTAATTAAAAAAAAAAAAGACGACACCTTGCTTGTAGCTGGGTTATGTATAGCACACCTTGCCTGAAATAACTGCCTTCTGCACATCACATGCCAAGGTGATGCTGCCGATTCATCGCGCAAAGAAATGTATGTTATAAAACAGGCCACTTCCACAGGGAGCCGAAAACCCCTTTATTTTTAAATAGGGGGCTTCAGAAGGGTTAATTAGCAAGAGGCTTGGTTACCTTCCAAATCAGCTCCTGCTGTCGTAATCTGCACCGAGGCACTGGCTCACCGTGTGTGCTCACTAC